ATAGATTACCAAAAAGTAATTGAATTACAGTAATACAATTGCTGTGATTGAATTACTACCCAAGTATGATTATAATCAAACTGATTTTAGCGTGTTGATTGAAACCAAACATTTTGATATATTTGAAAAACATTGATTTTACCATTGGAACCTTAAGAACCTCAATTATTTTATTATTTTCAGATGCATTTTTCTTTTCATTCCATGTAAAATAATTATCAAGTAATACTGATATAAGGATAACGAGCAAATATATAACTTCTTTGAGGCAATATTAAATCGGAGAATTGAGCGCTCTCTACTTTTCAGCTTGTTCTTCAGGTATAGCGAAACAAGGGGAAGGGTAGAGTCAAGAACAAGAACACTATGTGTGCATGAACAAGCATACAAGCTGAAATACCAGCAGAGAGAGGTATGAAGCAGTAGTCACGTGTATTTAAAATTTTGAGAGAAATAATATTTCTCTAGTAATTTAAATCAAATCAATGTTTTGTTTTGTTTTTCATTTTGCCAGTGAGAAAACTGTGATTTGGTTAAAAAGCCATGTTCTGTCAATCAATGCGGCTCATTGCCATGAGTGCACTTTGGAGGCTGACATTCGCATACGGATTTCTTGCAGTAAATGTAGGTAATGAAGAAGTTTTTCTAGGCTTCTAGACAGACATTTTCTCTGTCTCTTTTATGCCCAAAATAGATTGTGCAAGAATATTTTTGGTTTGACAAGATGTTTGGATAATGTGTACTATTAAATAAATCGCTTTCACTTGATTTTATTGTTTTCTTTTATCTTCAAATTAAATTTTTTTTGGTTCAGTATTGCATTGCAACCAATTTGTTCAATATCGCAAATGTCAAAAAAAAAAAAAAACGAAGGAAAAAAAATTTAATGGGCAATGATGTGTCTAGAACGGTTCAGTTAGTCCCACTAAATAAGCTACGCTTCAGACAACGTTGGCTTCAAAGTGACGACACTTGCCCATATTGTGGCTTAAAATCATGGTTGCCAGTTATCTGAACCTTTATCTGAAATCACGGGAAACGCTATTCCGTCCCCCACAAATATTTAAACAGTTCGCGGCAGAGCAAAGCAATATTACATGAGCTTCCTAACACCGAATATAATGCTGAGGAAGTCGCACTTCTCAATCATGATGATCATCAGTTGCGTCTGCTCTGCACAAGCACCAAAATGGTGGCGCCCACAACAATGTCGGGGAACAGTGGCTCTAAGTACAGTATATTCGTTATGTTTATAAAGTTTGCAGTCATCAATCGTACACGCTACATTTCTAACCCAACTACACTGACCAATTAGGTGACCCAGTGCCAATCGAACCCAACTGGAGTGACCAATTGGGTGACCCAGTGCCAATTGAACCCAATTGAGTGACCAATTAGGTGACCCAGTGCCAATTGAATTTTATTGATCCCAATTGTGGTAACCAGTTGGAAACATTGAACCCAATTAGAGTGACCAATTAGGTGGCCAAGTGCCAACTGAATTTTATTGGTCCCAATTGGGGTAGCCAAATGGAAACATTGAAGCCAATTAGAATTACCAATTTGAAACCTCAGACCCAATTGAATTTCATTTATTCAAATTGAATATTCTAATTGGACTCAATGGTTATTTTTAACTGGTCAAGTACCAGAAAAAAGACAGCTGGTGTCTGTCTCAAATTCTTAGCTTGGCTCAGCTAATTGCTTCAACTGCTGCCAGCTCGAGCCCAAGCAAATCTGCTGGCTCATGCTCACGTGGCACAAATTCTAAACTCTTACTTGTTTAAGCTGTACCCGCGGCTCGTCCCACCTGAACTCCCGCTCATAAACCGGGTGTTTTTACTGACGGGCCAAAATATTAAAGAAAATTAACCTTAGGGCACTTTCAATACTACCATTACCTTGCTCGAGTTGGCGGTCACTAGGATCAAGGCTGTGTACAATTAGGCACCCAATTTTACAAATATATGTTTACTAACTTTTTAATTAGAGAAAATAACCACACATTTAGGTTCCAATTAGAAACTTGCTGGGAATCGTCGAAAACCACTAAATTGGTCAAATTTAGAAAGATATGCAGCACGTGTACCATTTTCCTGACTCCTAAAATGCGTTGAGCAAGGCTGGATTTTTGGGTTCTCATCCGCATTTTTGCTCCACCAGGTTTGTGCCTGCCTGCATCCAAAGTGGGTACTTTTTTTAGCAACTATGCTTCATATGTACTCCCAATCTTTTAAAATGGGCTGATTTATAAGGGTTTTCGAATATGCCCAGTTTCTAATTAGAACAATGTGTTTATTTTTACTAAATGAATAGTTAATGAACAGATTTCTGCTAATTAAGCACAGCTAATTAATTGTACACACGATCATGATCAAAGCGGCTGCCACGTCGGGCAAGCTAATGGTAAAATTGAGAATGCCCTAAAGCAAGTACCTTTTATATAATATGCTGGCCCGTCTGAGCAAAAACAATTACAACAGCAAGCCTCCAGCTGGACCCAACTATGTGCTAGCTAAGTACTAGCTGGTCCCAGCTAAGTGGGCGTTGGTTTGAGCTAAGTGCTGGTTGGTCCCAGCAAGTCCCAGCTAAGTGCTCGTTGGTCTGAGCTAAGTGCTGGTTGGTCCCAGCTAAGTGCTTGCTGGACCCAGCGAAGTGCTTGCTGGTCCCAGCTAAGTGCTTGTTGGTCTAAGCTAAGTGCTGGTTGGTCCCAGCTAAGTGCTCGTTGGTCCGAGCTAAGTGCTGGTTGGTCCCAGCTAAGTGCTTGCTGGTCCCAGCTAGGTGCTCACTGGTCCGAGCTAAGTGCTGGTTGGACCCAGCTGGTCCCAGCTAAGTGCTTGCTGGTCCCAGCTAAGTGCTTGTTGGTCTGAGCCAAGTGCTGGTTGGTCCCAGCTAAGTGCTGGTTGGTCCCAGCTGGTCCAGGAGCTAAGTGCTAGCTGGTCCCAGCTAGGTGCTCGTTGGTTTGAGCTAAGTGCTGGTCGGTCCCAGCTGCTTGCTGGTCCCAGCTAAGTGCTAGCTGGCCCCAGCTGAAACCATCTGGGACCATCTGGGTACCAACTAGATATTTTCTTCTGGGTTGTGTTCTGGGACCGGGTTGAATGTTTAAAAGCAGTAGTGCAAACAAAGCTACCATGCCTTTTATGCAAGCGGTGCACATTTCAAAGCAGGGCGCTCTGCTGCAGCCCTCTTTCTGCTGTAATTTCAACCATTTGTGTGTGGGTGTTGCCATATTTAATTAAATATTTGAAAGTTGATATATAACTAATTAAATATGAACTTTCTTCATTTGACAATTAGACTTAGAATTGAAGACATATTGAAGCTTTGTGTTGGCTACAACGTGAAAGGTAATTCAATATACTATATAACAATCCAGGAACTACTCAAGCTGCTACTTATTACATAGGCTATATTTTGCCCTGGCTCTCCTTCAATAACCATTCCATAAAAACTTCTTTAATTCAATTTCGTTGTGCAATTGATTTGTATAACACATACTTGAAAAGTAAATTATTTGCTACGTACTGGTGCAGTGCAGAATAACCGCATGCATGTATGGCATCCAAACATAGTTCAAGGGGCACTGACACATCAAAATCGTATTTTTTTTTATTATACGAAACGATTGAAAACGATGCCGGGACATTACCCTCAAAATTTGAAATTTGGGAATTCAGTATTTGTAAAGTAAAAAAACAATTTCCAAATGCCGAATTTGAAGTTCCCGCGCAATCCGCGCCGGTGCGTTGACGTCAAATATTGCGGAGCCCTGAGAGTCCACTTTCTTCACAACTCCCGGCTGTTGCCATGGCGACCCAAAGCGAGGAGGAAAGGAGCGAGCGCCGGGCCGCCGGCGGACCGGTTTTGAGCGGTGTCGCCTGTTTTCCTTGAGAGGATACAAATCCAGGAGACGGCACCACAACGAACTCCCGATTTTTGGTGTTTCAAAAAGAAGGGCCGTAGTGCGTTCGCAATTGCGTTAAAAAACATGGTTTAGGTTTGCCGTTATTAAATGTTATAGAGATGTCGCCCACAAAGCTTCTAAATTTCATGATTCTTAACGTCACGAATCCAAAGAAGCGAGGAGGCGAGAGGCGGGAGAATCAAACGCCAAAAATAAAAAGGCGCGCGCGCGCGCGGGAAAATTTTTTTTCGCGATGCGTTTTTTTTTTTTTTGCGTGTCCATGACTGTTGCTTGCATCGTTTTAGACAATAAAAAAAAATACGACCTTTGGGGTGTCAGTGCCCCTTTCAGTTGAGCAACACTTCATTTGAGTGAATGCCCTGTTCACAGGTTCATAAGTGAGCTTTTCTCCGCATCAAATGGTTTTGTGGTGACCTTTTCTCTGCCGCCCAAAGAACATGACCTTGGTGAAGAATGGCACCATGCCGATAGGGTTGACTACATTTAAGTTTGGGGGAGGCGCTAAAGCCCCATAAGCCTCCCCACCCTATCACTGCCCTAAGCACATGAGCATGCACCCCACCCCACCACCAACATACATCGCTTTTTTTTTTTGAAAGAAATGTTCAGTTTTTGGTGACATCGCAAATATTAGGCCAACAAAATAGATCTGGGCAACGGCTTGCCAGTGACGTCATCTCTCTGCAGACCACACCCCCTCCCCTAACCTCCCCAAGCCTGACCCATCAATCCGCCCCTGTGCTGAAACCTAGACAATTGGTAAACCACTATCATTGTACCCTTCGAATGATCCAGATCACTCCGATTTAGATTTATTTCTTGTGTCATGAAAATACAGCTACTTTATGCTTTTCCCACTACTATGATTTTTTTTTGCAATTAGCCTACTGTAATATTATATGAAATTTATTGTGTTCATCGTTCACCCAGTATTTGTTGCAATTATTTTGTGCTACATGCATGAAATCAACTTACACTGCCACAGCTGCCAAGATATTTAGGGTGCCGAGAGCTCATCAATCTGCTGATACAGCTATTTGCCAGCCCTGACCATCGATGAATGGGAAATATACAGTTTTGTAAAGACTTCAGTTTATTACTGCAGCAACAAAACAACACAGATAATGTTCCCAGAGCAGTTAGCTCTGTTAACCTTATATACAGCTTTAAGTGTTTCAGTGATTAAAGTCTACCTACAAGATATACACAAAGTGTTTGAAACGGTACCTAAGGAGAATAAGAGTTCATTTGTCAGGAACCGCTGTTGCAATACGTATTCCATGCATGTCTTGTATTTCTGTCTTCAAAGCCTGTGAAAGAGTAGAGAACATTGGTTATAAACCCATGCACTTTCAAACATTAAAGGGGTTATGACAAGCCAAAAATAAAATATGAGATAACTATACTGCTAGGACCCATAGTATGTTCCTATGCTCCTGCTAAATTTGTTTTGAAAATGGCGCGATAGTTTCGTGGATAAATCGATTTATATGCGGGTCCCTCGGAGGGGCAGATCCGGGCGGTGCTGGAGGCTGGCTACGCAGCCAGCCTCCAGCGCGGTGTCTCCTTGCACGCACTCACAGACTTGGCTCTCTTGGCGTCTCGAGCCTCAGCTTCCTCGTTTAGACGTTTACCTTCCATGTTTCGAGCATGCGGTCCGTGACAATTACGTCTACGGCATCGCTCGCCTTGTCGAAGTGTTCGACAATGATTGCAGCAGCGATGACAGTGATTGCTATCAAGAGATGTTGGACGTTGTTCATTTCAACTGCGACCCGCTGGCTACGAGCTCCAGCGATGGCGAGTTACGTACGAACTTGCCGTGGTCACCGTCGTACGGGAATATGTCACAGGCGCATGCAGGGTGGAAGGTCAACGGGCCGGGGGCAAGAGCGAGAATAGCTTTTGGGTTACCGAGTTGCGCGAGCGGTTTTGATCGTACCGCGGCGAGGAGAGCTTGGGCGATCATGGGGGCGTTTCGAATGAGAGAGTGTTCATGGTCACGTGGTTTATGGACACCATGGTGTGACTAACTTGGGCAGTGTTGCCTGGTCGCCAGATGAAAACGATACAAATTCGTAAATTGAATATTGCAATTACCAGAGGCCTAAAAATCACGTAACTTGGTGTATATACTAAGTAGCCAATGAGCATTCCATTTCAAGAATAATCTATCCGTTTAATTTTCGTGTCATAACCCCTTTAATTATGCAAACGCTGCACAAGAAATGGTTTGACATACTGTTATGTTAATAACTTCACTAGCAGCAAGACAAAGTGTACTGCAGTGCAGGTCTCTTGGCTGTTGACAGGCACTGTCTATCCACAAGGTGTGATGAAAAATTTCCGGGATGGATTTTGTAGCGTAAAAAGTGAAGGCAGCACAATGATGTGCACGCAGTAGTCGAAGGAAGGGGCCTTCATTTCTCGTTATGCCAAAGGGTGTTGCTCTGTGAACATTTGGAGCCGTGCTACCCGAGTTTGACCAGATGCACGAGCTTAATGGCAATCTCTCCAAAGACTGCAAACCAAAGCGAGAGCGAACATCAATTTTACATCAAACTCGACAAATCTAGAACTGAGAGGTCAAATAATTTGGAACGTTTATGTCAAAAAGTAGTGAGGTGTGCGAGGCGTTTTGAGTGGTACTCGCACCTCAAGAATGGCAGAACGTCACTGAAGTCAAGGAGAGGTCCGATAAGGTCGCCCTACTGCTCTTTGTCTTCCAGTTACGTTCTGCCGAGAGTGACACTTAAAACACTTCGCAAAATTCACTATTTTTGGACACAAGCCCACTGATTTGTTTCAAAGGTTTGTGATACATTTGCCGAGTTTGACACAGAATTGATGTTCGCTCTCGCTCTGATTTGCAGTATATGGTGAAATCGCCAATGTAACCATGCACGTGGTCACAAAAACTCGTGTAGCGCAGCTCCAAATGTTCACAGAGTGACATCCTTTGGTATCAGGAGACATGAAGGTCCCTTCCTTTGACTGCTGCGCACGCATCACTGTGCTGCCCTCTCTTTTTACACTAAAAAATCAGTACTGGAACTTTCTGATCACACTTCGTATCTATCTCAAAGTCTGAATTGTTTTAGGTATGCTCACTTAAAAGACAACTATAAAAATTAGGCAAAACTTCTGTGTTAAAATAAGGAGGCACACGTATGAAATAGACTATAATGTAGATGGGTGCAAAGCATGACAGTAGCAACCAGGTGGAGAAAAAGAAATGATAATTTAAATTGTGATTTGACTTGCATAAATTTTTCTACCAATTCAGACCTTTTCTGAAAGTAAATAATACTGGAAACCATTTTTACTGAGATTTAGAGTCCCTGCCATTTGGTACTTTCAATGAAAATATTTATGACTTGCATCAACTAATAATAAAATATGAAAGATCTGTTGAACTTGTCAGGGTGCAGAGAAAAACAAGGTGGCTCACGTCTGTGGTACACTCTAATCGGACTGCCGAGTTTACCTTGTCACTTTGCTCTTGGTAGCTCGATAGTGTTGAAACCCCCCCCCCCCCCCCCCCCCCCCTTCCACCAACCACCATCTCGCACCCTCCTTTTCATCCCCATCAGCAGCTCGGATGTGTCGGCAAGCCACCTCTACATTGCCATTATTTCTGTAGTTCGGTGTGCATGTGATTCTGGCTAGGATAACTTTGACTGACCGGAACCAGGCATTCACGTTTTTTGACTCCACTGGTAGGCACCATTTCAGGATGAAAGTGTGCTGCTCTGTGGGAGTACTTGAGTGGCACCGATTATCCTCAGACTTAGATGACAGATGTTTTCAGATTTCAATATTTATTTCAACAGGCTCATATCTGTAGGTTTGTGTAAGGGCAATTAAAGCATACATTTTACATGCTCACACAGTAGGACAATTAAAACACAAAAAAAGGATGCCTACTTGGAAAAGCACAAAGTGGTTTTACATTCATAATTGTGTTGCTGTGACTGCTTGATGTTACATCTGTAATTAAATTTATAACGGATTATGCTTTGTATACGCTTGTTTTTGATTTTCAGGTCTATTGAAATAGCTGGTAATTAATCTGCAATGCCTGGTAAATGTATGAAATATGAAAATATATTTAAAGTAAATAAAAATCTTAATTTTTAAATCTAAAAAAAAAAAATCACGTTTTTTGTATCTTTACATTCTGTAATTCGTGTCACTGCTTACCTCATTAACCAGGCGGTGTTGCTGAACTCTCGGAAGGTTCCTAAATATACTTGACTGCACGTATACCTCGTACATGGCACCACAACCACCTGGAAGGTAAGGCAGATTAGTGACGAAGGTTCGCCTGTTGCGCTCAACATCTCTGCATTCCTACTTGCTTGCGTAGGCGCGAAACAGCTTGCTCACCTGAGATATCTTTAACTTGAATGTTACTTGCTTCTGGGAACTTCTGCTGTAGTATACTCGCGAGGCTTTTCTCTCCGTTCGTCTCGAGTGCCTCATGCGATAAAAATCTAAAAGCCTGCACGGAGTGAAAAAGAGCAGTCGATTGGACTTGTTAATTGCTCAATTTTTTTTTTTCTTCTTTTTTTTGTGGGGTGGGGTGGGTTATAAGGACGGTGTTAGCTGAGAGGCATGAAAGATAAGTAGTATTATTTATCCGTTCGTTAAACAAACCTGAAAACGGCTAATAAATCCTGTTAGGATTCGCGACATCGTGCTCATCGTACCGGTCCACTGTTCGTCACCGGTTTCGTCTACAGCAAAGCAAAAGGAAAGGTTCCTTCTGTCGCTTTGAGTACCTTTCGGCCCTCCGGTAAACGGAGTTAGCTCTCAGTGAGCGAGAAGACTTATATGACGTCATTACATAACACTGGCAAAGCGTCGGCGGGGTCGGCAGCGTCGGCGACAAGAGAGGTATCCGAGCAAGGAGGTTAGGGCCGTGGGGGCCGTGGGGCCGTGTTTCAAAATGTACTCGATCTTACTCCAGGGTAAGGGGGTAAGGGTTTGGAAACTTGGCGTTGAAACGAGATCGCAGCACCGGGGAAAGGCAGCACAGCACGCATCGAAAGTCGCATTGAAATAAGCATCGAAAGCAGTCGAAAGCAGACGCCCGCCGGTACGGATTCTGCTTTCGATGCGAGCTGCACTGCTTTCCTCCGGTGCTGCGCTTTCGTAGAACTTTCGCCGGGTCCTCAAAGATGACGCTACCGTTCACGCTGGGTTTCAAGAATCTGGTTCGTCGAACAACTTCAATCAAGCACGAAATATCACTCACGGTACAGAATTACAGCAAATCTGTAATAAACTCACCTTATGTTTTTTATCCAGTTCTTTCGCGTTTAGGGGTCTTGCGGAAATCTGAAGAAACTGCAAGAATCTTTCTCCACCCGATGGTTAGAATCAGATACGAAGCACCCTCCCATAGCGCGAGTCCGCAAACAAAATTTGGGATCTCTACCGATCGCCTGAAGTGCTTTTTCTCACGGGTGCATTGCGATCTTTTAGCAGCCGATCATCTCGATCGACGCCCGGACTTTCGATAAGCCATATTTTGCATCGCACCCCACTATGAATTCTTATAAGTGTCTGAAACTCATTATATTCCAAACAAATGCAATATCAGAATATCGTCTTTATTCACCCGATTCAGAAGCCAGCGCCGGTTTGGCCGGCGGGTGTGTGGCAGACAGCATTCTTCTTGCATTCGTCGTCTGCTGCAGGCATCTTAAAGGACACACGCAAAGGAAAAAAAAAATTTTTTTAGACAGCTTAGATGGAAAAAGGATCTCATAAAACGATTTTACAACGAAGAAACAAAATTTTTAGAGCTATATTTACGGCGCTATACGAATTTGTAGTTGGCGCTCGCGGGAGCCGCCGCTGGTCACGTGGTAGGCCCGCGCGCCGCCGCGCTGCGTCGCCGCCGCGCGCTGAGCGTTGTGCGAACGCCGCTTCAACGCGTTTCTCCACGCCGCCGTCGCCGCCGCCGCACAAGTTCGTCTGCTTCGGGGCGCCGCCGCCGTCGTTTGACCGGCGCACAGGTCTATCACGTCTGCTTGCGCTTTTTCAGGAGTTTCCTTTGGGCTCTAAAAGTTATTTATTTGTCTTGGTTTTTTGTTATACTTCAAACAAAGATGAATAAGTTACTTTTAGAGGCCATAGGAAGCTTCCGAAAGAGCGCAAGCACCACGTGATAAATAAAGACCAGTCACGTGATAAATACAGACCACTTTTCCGCGGTGCCCGCGGGCGCCAACTACAAATTCGTTTTGCGCCGTAAATATAGCTCTAAAAATTTTTTTTCTTCGTTGTAAAATCGTTTTATGGCGTCCTTTTTCCATCTAAGCCGTTTAAAAAAAATGTTTTTTCCCTTTGCATGTGTCCTTTAAAGGGGTAGTGAAACGAAATTTTAGCGCCGATCTTGTTGCATAAATATGGGCTAGGGACAGGCACCACCTCGGAAATATAAATATTGCGCTGTAAAACACAGGAGAACTAATTTTAAACATAATTAAACGATTTCAAATTCTTATCTGGTGGATGGGGGGAAGTTCTCGTGACATCACTTGTGCCAAAATAGCAGCGCCGGTCTGCGGCAATACGGCGTGCCGGCAGAATTCGCCTAGGCCTGAACGCGTTCGCAAAGCCTTGGCGGAGAAAGCCAAAGCGTAGTTGGCCACAGTGAGCTCGTTCTCGTTGCGGCTCTTTGCACGACACGGCCCGAGCATGCTTCTGGCACGGCCGGTATTAGTTGCTGCGAGTTGCGAGCTGCGAGCCGACGTTAAAAAAGATATGTCTGAACTACGAGAGTGCCAGCAAGAGCCACGCAAATACCTGTTCACGCTCGGAGCGCTCGGAGCGGACACGCGCGTTTGATCGAAGTGCTGGATTCGCTCTGTTAGACCGCGTTTCGGTAAGCGCTTCTGGACCGATCTTTTACGATTGCAACTGGATACTGACATGACACTCGACAAAGAAAGGTTAGACCGACATCGCGTAGCTCCCACGAACTGCTATAGCTCGACAGTGACGTAGCGTCGAGTCAGAATAAAAATGGCATACCAATAACAGAGTGTACATACCGAGTTGCGAAGGTAATCCGTATGGCGTTTATTTGAGCTCTATATCACACAAAACAAGGAGATAGAATCAATGAGAGTCCCTTTTCGACGACAGCGTTCGTCACCGCTGTCTCGGAAAACAAGGAGATCGAGATGACAAGGGGAAAATATTGACCTCTGAAATTTAGGTCAGGGATCAAACTACTGGTCCGGTAAGGGTCCACAAGGGTCGCCGGTCATGGACAGACGGTCTTGGCCAAGGACCGCCGGAGCAACGGTGCGCCGAGTCGATGTTGCTGCTAGGCCTACTATATTCTGCCGAGCTCGCTCGGTCGGCAGAATCGTGGCTGTTGTAGCTCTTCTCGTGTGTTTGTGGATCCTGCGTTCTTGATCGTGGTCTGTTTTAAGTACTCCTTCCTTTTTTTCTTGCTGGTTGAAGTCGGGACGCACGAGAAGAGCACGAAGAAAAATAAATGTCCGTTGGTGGCCGATACCAAGTAACATAGCGACGCTGTCGGCCTTGTTGATTTGATCGTAAAAAGTGCGTAAGACAGCTTCGGAGCTGTCGTAGGATTCTGTCGTAACCTGCGCAAAGGTTACGACAATTTCGTTTCGAGAGCACGGGTTTTCTCTCAAATTTGTCGTACGCACTTTTTTCGTCGTGAATTCGCTTTGAGAATCCGGCCTCAGAGCTGGTTTTGTCAGTGCTGCCGTGGTTGCCGACTTGCCGTGGTCCCGTGGTGCAGCGTGTGTGCAGCCCTTGCACATCTCAAACGGCCACGTTGTCACGGGTCGTAAATCGTCGACGCGCCACCAAGTGGCAACGCTCGTAACCACAACATTCACGCCGTAGCCTTTCCCGACCGGCACAAGTGACGTCACGAATGCGCCCAATATCCCAAGACGCATCGCTCTCTCCGATGGCCGATTTTTGAGCGCGCGCCCAATCGGGCCCATCAGGGTGAAAAATATAGCCATCCGTTCAAAATACAAACGCGCGATTATGATTTATGAATATCATTGATCATATTGAACCTATTTCTGACCATAATAGGTGTATTTCAAGTTTCGCTTCAGTATCCCTTTAAGGACCGAAAGTTGCAGTCACAAATATTTCAGAAACAAGCGATTACCGGCACACTTCTGTCGCAACATATATGACATTCAAGCTTTCTATATCTGCAATTTTTAGAAGTTTAAATCCTACTCCCGATTTTTGAACGGTCGGGTTTTCGTAGCGAAACTTAGCCGCATGTTTTTGTCCATCACAACGACCCTAGAAACGGTTTGTTTGGACCCTTGACGGCTACAAGGAGTAGGCTGTGTTCCAAAGTTTACTCGATCCGACTACGGAGTAAAGTTTTCGTACCGTGGCGTTCCAAAACTTACTCGAGCTTACTCGGTGACGTCAGAACTCGCGTTCCAGAAGCGGGTTGTTTACTCCGGAGTAATTACTCACGCTACCCTCCTCGATCCGGGGGGGAAGGGGGGGGGGGGGGGGGGGGGTAACGTCGGATCAAATCGAGTAAATACGTCACGTGATCTGCTTGTCGTCTGCTTTCTGCGCCGACAGCCGTCAGAGCTCGCTTGCTCCGTTGGTTTTGGTGCCGGACCTTCGAAATGACAAAGGATAGGCGCAGCATGGGTGGGTATTGCGATTTGCTGTTTTCAACGCACGAATTGACTGCATTACATCCAGACCATGCACCTTCTCCGGGAAGTTATACTTGTCATTATCAGAGGGCGAGAGTAAATAGGAGCTTCTCCGCATTCTCGTCCTGGGCGTTGGAGGGAATGCCGTATTCTCACGTTCAAGGCTGAAAATGTTTGAACGCAGTAAATGATAAGGTAGTATTCTTGTTTCCTCCAGAGTATGTGTAATGAGAGGATAACGCTTGCAAAGCTGTGAAGCCTCGGGTGATTTTATTGTAATCATATTCGCGTCAACGCGAACGTCAGTTTCATGTCATTTTTGAGAAAGCACCCTCGTGCTGTACCGGTCCACTACACCGTGTGGAATCAATTTCTGCAAAACATGGTGCAAATTACAGTGCGAGGAATATATGCAGTTTGGGGAGATCGCGCTGATTAATAAAAACACATTTTTTTTATATCTAACTCTAAGGAGCAAGTAATTTTTATCTCAATATACAGCTCAAAAGGAAGGTGAGTAAAGGGAGCTGGTGGATGCACCGAAAAAAAAAAAAAAACCGTCGTCATTAATATTATTGTCTCTTCGAGTGCTTTCTTTGTGATCATAAGGATCGTCTGCTATTTTCTGCCACCGCTGCTGTATTTTCTTTTTACCGTAGCTCAAGACGAAGCCAACTACCACAATTATTGGACTGAAGTTTAAACATTGGTTGCACGGCCCTTTAACTTTTTCCTCTTCCCTAACACCTCCCCCTAGAGTGCCTACATGCGTCCGCCGCTCCGCGGGGCGGAAACATGTAGGCACCCTACCTCCCCCGAGTGTGATCAGCGTGATCAGGCAGAGTACATGAAAATGACCTCTTTCCCATTCTCACCCCTTCATGGCCGTCCTCCTACCGTCTCCCCCACCAGTGTGTGTGGTGTCAAGTGACACGGTGCAGGCGGCCTGCCAAGCCTCCCTGCACCGTTCCCTCTGCCCCCTCTCGGTCTCACTTCTCGCCGACCCTAGGGCGATGAAGCGCAGAGCGGAAAGCAGAAATCAGTGACTTTTTTTTTTTTGTTTTTTTTTTTTTTTGTAACCAGCAGCTTTCAGAAATCACGCGGTGGTCGAAGAGCACCCAGGCCGTCGTTAGGAGAGGGAAGCTGCCAAGAGGAATCGCACAAAGGCAATAACTGGTCTAGGGAAAGAGGGGAGGCCGCGTTCTCAGAAAGTTGGGTGGCCATGGCCCAAGCGTTGCTAGACCGACCTTCGGCCGCCGCTCGAAATGTGAAGGCGAGGACGCACTCAGTTCAAGGCACTGGAAGAAGGGTGGGGGTTTGGGTGCGGGAGGTTGAGGGGGGGAGGGAGGTGGGTCTTTCGCCCTCGTTTTATTTCCCAGCCGAAGTTTGCTAGATTAGAGTTCTAGCGCTTGTCTCACCGCTAGTTACTGTCCTGTACTTGTGTTCTTGTAAGTCGCAAGCGCCATGTACGCGCTTGTTAGATTTCTGGAAGACCACGACCTCACATGCGACATGTGATATTAGTTAGTGACATTGAAGGTTTTAGCCCTGTGGACACCAATGACTTTGACACAAGGCCATTTACAACGCCTTCTGGCGCGACTGTGTTGTGGACGGCAATACCGGTTTCTACTCGGCGCAGGTCTTGGCGCTCGGAAGTGAGTACAGAAAGATTTGATAATTTGACATTCTAATTTTCATACTACTTCTAGTGACAACAGAAGAAGTGGAGGATCCCAAAAAAGAGTCCCGGTTCCGAAGGTTACAGTTGAAGAAGGTTCAGAGATGACGAGACTCTGGTTCAGAGAAGGAGACAGGTACCGTGAATTGGCTGATTCTTGGCAAAGTTCAGAGGAAGTTGATAACGGCAGTGAAAACTTATTACTGTATGTATTTTATCAACATATAGGAAGCAAAGAAAACCAACCAATCAGCTTCCAGAAAGGACAGCTACGTTAAAATATTGAACCAGCATATAAGTCAAGCTCATAAAAAAAAAAAAAAAAAAAAAAACGCATCGGGGGTTCGAAGCAACGGAGGAACCGTATGTATTTTAGCTTACTATTGTGCCTCACAAATATAAATTTATGTAATGTAAACGTTTTCCTTTGAAATAATTTTCAGCGAAAAGGGGTTCAGAGCTCGTCTGACTCCGACGCTACAGCTAATATTAGCAAGGAGCTCCAACATCCAGAAGGAAAAAAAAAATGCAAAGAGCTCCGGGAGGATTTCTCCAGGACCAATTAAAAGGATATCAAGCACTCCTTAGCTCCAAAATGTTCAGACGTAAGTAAAGGCCCTTTGCTTTTGTTTATGTGTCACTAAAGGGTTCCCCGTTTTGATAAGTAAAACATATGCAGTATTATACCTAGAAACAAAGCAATGGAATGGACAGTGGTTTAGAGCTTATGCTTTTTAATTAACAGATGAGGAAGGAGATGTAGCGGCAAGAGAGCAACAGTGGCTGGCAACAGATGCTGTGATTGGCAGTGTCAATCAAGGTATGTACGTTGTATGTAACATGATATAAATCTCTCTGGGGCCTTGCTTAGATTAGAATTACTGTTAATGGTCCAGCAGAGTAGTGCATGCCTGACATTAATATACTCTGTCGTTTGTTAGGCAGCATTGAAGCATCACCTTTATGTATTCGAGCCAGGAAACGGCACTGGTGAGTTAATGCCGTGCACGTCCAAGATGCCTCCGCCTCCAAGTCGAGCAACAGGCAGGTTGCTTACACATATGCAGTGTTGTAAGTGCAAGGCCCACCATTCAAGCTTAATATTCATATTTATAGCAAACCAGGGGCTTTTAAAAGAGCATCCCAGGGGCACGGTTTTCTGCGACAGGTTGGTTTCCGATATTCGCTTCCCGACACATTATGCATTTGTTGCAGCATTTATTTTATGACTTTATTTAAAAATGTTAATAAAAATCAGGCCACTCCAGTAAAAAAGATGGCGTACGCCACGCACAACCACACACCTACACAAATTGGCAGAGAGAGGGAGAAATAAACGTAAATGCAGACGGGCTTCAAAGCCTTTAGAAGAATTCCGTGTTCAGTTGCGAAGCTCGCGGCCGAGCCGAAAAATGTCTGAGTGGAAGCGAGCGTTCCAAGACGCTGGCTTCGTTCAGCCCTGCCAGTTCCGCGTTCCAATGTTACATATTTCAGTTCACGTGCCCCACGTGCAAAACTGAAATGGCAGCGTCTTGCTGAGGCGGCCGTGGAGGCTTGCTAGCAATATTTCGCAAGCGCGGCGAGCTGTTCGAGAAAGCGCACAAGCCGGAAAAGAGCGGCCGTGTGACGGCGATGTCGGCGGGTTTACTGCGGTTGATCGAATGCCATTTCATCGAAGCACGTTTTAGAGAATGGGCACGGTTTAGAGAAAGCAGAGCCTCAGTTTACAGAAACGCCGTTTATCAAAAAAAAAAAAAAAAAGAGAGTTTCAAGTGAATAAAGAATGTAAACTAGCATTTCCTGGACCATGACTGGCAAATAGACTGCTTCCATAAAGCCCTGCATGCAACACGGCTCGCGTTGCACTCTGGGAACTAGTTGGCCAGGGAGGAGAGTGGCAGGGTTTCGGTTTCGATCGACACGTCGTCGTTTTCTGGTCCCGAGAGCGTCATTTGTGGTCTCTAAACTGACCTAAATGGCCGGACCTCGAAGCTTTAGCAGTTTGGTTGTAGTTTTGTATTTGGGCCTTTGTGTTAGCGTTTCGAGGTATGTGGACCAGCCAGTGCTGGGAATGTCGACGCTGCGAAGCTCGGGGATCTTGCTTACGTACGAATCAACAAGCTGTATCAACCAATAAGTATGCATACATCGAGCTCGCGCCTTTGCATTAGTGTTGTTGATCAGGCAGTTTGTTTGTTTCGTGCGTCCATAAACGAAATATTACCTTTTGCAATTACTGTTTTCTTAATACGCCTGAGTACGCGAGGCAAAACTCGGAGGCGCCATTGAAAGCTCACTTTCTTATCTCTTATCTGTACGGACCCGCAGCACTGCACGAAACGAAGTCCCCACCCACTAGCATTTTATTAATATTCAACATCGCGTATGCGCATAACGTTAGCCTTTAATCATATAGGCACCATTCGCACATACAACCCGTTTTAAGAAAGCAAAAGTTGAGCGCTTGTGTGAAAATGTCGCACCGTTCGCCAGAAGTACGCAGGACGGGCATGAACCCCTGTGCGGTGCGCCAAACGAACGAAATTATTCAAAGTGAATTTGACGATTGCTAATGGCCATAATATTTGTTATATGTTTGCTTTCTTCCTGCCTGAGTATGCCGAGATAATTTCAGGACACACCGTTCAGGCACAGATCTTGGGCTTCAGGAAAAGCTCGTCCAAAAAGGCTTAGCGACGAGTGAGGGACGCTTGTTAGGGCCTCCGTCGTAGCTAGCCGATCTCAGCGTTTGCGAAAACTTAATATTCTATCAGCATAAAATTTGAGTGGGAGATATGTGATGACACGAGAAAGACATCATAGTAACTTTAGAGCAGTAGTGAGGTCGAATTTATTGCGTTTCCTTGAAAATTCATGCGTCAACGCTGGGCTCAACTTTGATACTCCTGTGAGGATGCGGCTTGCTTTTCGCCCAATGAAGTAACAAGAAGCGGACGTTTGGCAAACAAAATACGTGTAAGGCTCCAGGTGCCCAAATTTCAGTTGTAGTTCACTGGTACTAGACTTGATTATTGAAATTGAACTCAAAGGTGAGGTGACTAAGTCACGTCTTACTACGTACGTTTGCATACGCACTCATAATATCCGGTGTTTCGGGAACCAAGGAAAGTGCCCCGGTCTTCGTTTTGTATCGCTCGAGAATGAGTGTATTGTACGTTCGTGAAAGTCCAGATAATCGAAAACGCAAGCAGCGCGTTCGGTCGCGGCGCGATAGCATGAGATGGAGCTGCT